AGATTTAATTTTCTATTGGCTATAGGTCAATGTTTGAGAAAACAATCTGAAAAAAATTATTTGAGTTATGCTTTGTGAAATGTGACAAAAGTTAAATGAATTACACATGTATTATACAAGTGAATGTTTATTTACATTCACTTACATGTGAAACAAAAGTATTTAACATAATTGCCACTGAGGGCAGTGTAAAAGTTTGAAAAAAGTGGATTTGAATGCTTACACATCACTTTTGGCACTGAAAACACCTTCCAGAAGACTTTCATAGGCTAACCACCTTCTAATGGATCTCTGAAATAAGTCCAAAGTAAAATGTTTAAAATTTGATACTGTACCATGTATGTATATATTAAGAATCTTTCTACATGAAAAAAAAAAAGATTGTATGGTACACTCAATATGTCTTTTCGAGTCAACTCACAATGTAGAGAGCTGCATTTGGGAAATCTACTGTAAAATGACTAATTTTCACTGGGTTTAAATTTCCCTGATTTAGCGTTTCAGGCACATTTAGTAGGTTTTAAATTCACAGTTTTATCATTTGGATAATGTGTTCTATGCTCAATTTTACATATTCACTGGGTTTTAATTTAGCACATTTTCCAGTCAGCAAAAAAAGCCGAATTAAAACCCAGTGAATAATTAACCCCTTTACAGGATTATACTTATCAGTATGAAAGATATCAAATTTCATAAAGTGGGTTGATTAATAATGCACTACAGTGAGATATTAAGCAAGAGAAAACAATGTATCATATGCTAGAATGTAACCTAAAATCAATCAAATTGTGACTACATCTACCTCAGATTTGATCAGATAAGCTTCAAATTAAAACATAATATTTAACTCACTCTGACTGGTTCATTGGTTGCGACATATTCACCGTGTTCGTACATGTCAGTAGCCAAACCAAAGTCACAAATCTTGGCTCTGTTATTAAATGTTATCAATATATTAGAGGCCATCAACTTCCGATGCAAAATCTGCAGAAAAAAAGAGAAATTCTTTTACTAAATGCATTAAATACTGGTGAAGCACAGAATGTGAGAGCAGTTGGCCAGCTCCTCGGGTGAATGTGAATCTAAATTCACATACTGTAATATCTGTTACATTATAATGAAAAAATTGAAATAAACAATGAAAGCAGTGCTTCATTCAATTTCTGCCAGGAAGCCTATCTCATTACGCTTAAAAATACAAAATTACAGGTTTGCATCTTGAAGTTTCGCCTGAGTGAACCACACTCTCAAAATTGAAGTTAGGTACCACTAACAAATTCCCTTGCATCAGCATTTTAGATCTGTTTAATGAGATTTAGGTGGGAACTTCCGGTACTAAAATTAATGTGGTAAATTTCATCAAATTTTCTTTTGAAATCAAACAAGTTTAACAGAGAGATTTCGTCCTGCTGAGTTTGTTTACAAGCATTAGGTGTTCTGTTTTTGATTTGATAGTTGTTACCGGCAGTTGACTTTTCCTGTGTATTGTTATGAAAATATTTCTATACTTGAGGGAGATGTACAAGTGTGAATTTAAAAAAAATATAACTGGAAATGTGTTGCATCGAAGAATACTACAGACAAGTTCAATGACAATGATATTGACACCTTGCTGATGGTCAATGAACTTGTCCACAATGGCTTACCGGTAGTCTCTTGTCATTCAATAAACGATATATACATTACAAGAACTACCTTGTGATTATGAAGATATTTCATTCCGTGTGCGACATCCACCATAATATTGACAAGCTCCTGCGGTGGTATACTCTGTTTTGGTGCTTCGTCACGCTTTCTACTCCGACATCGACGGATATATTTTAATAAACTACCATTAGACACATATTCAGTCACCAGGCAGTATTTAGCTGTGGAGAAAATTTACAGCATTACTGGAATATTTTTTTTTTCAGCCTGATGGGACCCATGCCTGTGTTGGATTTTGTATTCATCACTATTATAAGACCTAGCTACACGTATCAGCAAACCAACATCTACTTTGAACACAAACTGTGACTGTTTAATGATTAAGTACCAGTAATCATCTTTCATATAAAAGTGGTCTGAACAGAACATAATAGCGCCCTCAATGTACAAAAAAAACAAAAACTTTTGTTTCTAATCATTTTTGATTCTAACATAATGTCAATTGAATTCTGTCTGAACTAAATAATTATTTAAGGAAAAGATAAAAGTGGTATTGAGATTCAATAGACAGGTTGTACAACCCTAGTGTTACCAAATAGAGCCATGTGAGTCAAAATGAAAAGATTTTTTCTGTTGTGTGTTGAGGGCGCTATCACTTAAAACACAGGTTGGAAGAGAGCCACACCTACACACATCAGTAACCCCAATGATCTACTCACTTGAAAACTCTTGGACTTTATTACAAATACCATGCAGCAATATAATGTTTGGATCTAGCCCCATGTGTGCTAGAATTTCAAACTCATTCAGCAATTCCCGCTTTGCATACTCATTTGTGTGATCTGAAAAATAAACAATTAACATTAAACACTCCATGATATTACTGTGTTGTAGAATCTAGAAGTTCTGACACAGCGCCCTCCATAACTGCAAAGAGAGAACTTTTGTTTGTGCATGGCTGTTACATGTATGGAGCATCACCCCTTTCTTCATACCTTTTAGTTCTAGCTTTATTTTGTACTACTTCGCAGAAGGTGCGAAAAAACCTAATAATGCAGATTATATTAGACTGAATGCTTGAGACACAATATATCATTGCAGTGTAAGACAATATGTATAAATTTTAATAACTTGATACATGTATCAGGAAATTATTTTCACATAAGTCATATTTTTTTTTTCTCTGATTTGACAAGATCTACACGCAAACCAAAGGAATAAAAATATTGTTTTTGTCAAATTAGCGTACATATCAAAAATTAATTTCAAGCAAAAATAAAGTATACGGCTGTTCCAGGAAATGATAGCTGCCAATTAAAGTTGAAAGTGCCAAGGTGAGAAATGATGAAAATGTCAACCTTTTAAATTAATTTTAATTTAATGCATCCAATAAAAATATATAAAACATACAATATCTTGTCTAATAAGCACAAGATTCGAATGATTGATGATCTTATCGGCAGAGTGAGATCAACCTTCTGGTCATAACTTATTTAAGTAACTACAAAATGCATCAATTTAAAGTTACCTTTAAGCTGCTTGACAGCGACTTTGACCTCAGAGTCATCTTTTCTTTTATACTGTCCTTCCTTAACGTAGCAGAACTCGCCATTATCCAGCAGTCTACCGATATCTAGATCTTCTTCACCGATGTGCCACTTGGCCTGCAATGCATGCATCTTCACAGATGACAACCTGTCAGGAATTAATGGAACACGGAGGGCTTTTTTCTGCAAAAAAAAAAAAAAAACATGTATTACCGGTAGATTGGAATTATAAATTACAGTTTTATACTCAAATTAACATTGAGTCAAGCACACGGCAGGATATGATACATCAACAACAAAAAACTGTCAACAAACAAGATGCTCTCTGATTGGTCTGACTATTAAGGTGTTAGGATTGGGTAGCCAATCAGGTTTGATTTTGTATGTAGCTTTGCATAAACATCAAATTGGAGCTACTTTGTGATGATTTGTTTGCTGGAACTCAGATGCTTGTTAAAAATCTACAGCATTATTTTCACCGCAATTACATTCTGCATTCATCCATGATGCAAACAATGGTGATCCTCAAAGTAATCGAACAAATGAATTTGTGCAGTGATGCCGCATGGCAACTTAAAGCAGCCACTACTTGTGGTAGTATCCACCATCATTTTAAGTGTTTCATAGGTATAATTGCACTTGTATATCCTATCAGTATCAAAGAAATATTTTTCAAATTAATTTTATAATCAAAAATAACAATTTTGGGTGACATGTCAGACAAAATACATGTAGCTCCAAGTTTCATAGAGGAATACGTAACAGATATTTGCAGTTTTATTGTAGTTTAACCAAAATTCACAAAAATATTCACTGAAAATTGCGCATGTTAATTGGCACAAATTCAAGAAATACAAATGAAAGCAGCAAGCAAGGACCTCAATCTATACACCAAATATTCTTACATCTTACAACATACAAAAAATAATACAATAGAATATAATGTACGTGGCGACACTGTATAATGTAAATAATATTGCTATAGTCACACCTTAAACCGTATTTTTCGTGATACGTCTGTCACTACACACTGCAAGGGTGGCGAAGTAAAACCCCTAGCAACGGACGTCGACATTTCATTAACAGTAACATAGTAATATTTAGTATAACTCACGGCAGTCTGAAACACACTTGCGTCAATGTAACGATACATTGCGGCATGAACGTGACTTAGATAACACATGAATGTCCACGAAGAACAACGTTTTTTTTTATCATATGCAAAACATATGCTACTTATATTTGCATACTATAAACTAACAGGAAATGACATAAAACTACATGCACTATATGATGGCAGGACATAAAAAGTAAATGCTACAAAGTTAACAAACACCCACACACAAACAAGAACTTTTGCTGGTACATTCATTTTACAGAAACACCCTCATAATGTCAGATTTTTATAATAAATGTGTTCTGTGATCTATCTATAAACCATTGATTCTATGATTTCCATTTTCTAAACATGCGTATTTATTCTATAACTTACTACAATTCTAAAAAAAAAAAAAAAAAAATGCCACAAAAAAACACCGAAAAAAACGCTGAGGTCCAAAAAAACTTGTATTAGTATTAGTTTGAATTAATTCATCAGTATCTTCACAAGGCTTGAGGTATGAAAACTTTCATGTAGGGGTTGACCATGCAAAACTTAGAGGGAGTGGATTGAAATTGAAATGACAACATCTAATTGTGAACAAAACAATCCCGCACATTTGAAGAAGAAAAGCAAAAAGAAAAAAAAAATGTAACTTAAAACTAAGAGAAGGAGAATACAATTTGCACTATAGGTTGACCACTTCTCTACCCAGAATTCTAATGGTTATTGAGTTTATTTCATCTTACATATTGTAAAAGCATATGCCCAGAAATTTAATGACTATTTAAGGATGAGGGTACCACAGCATTCATCTTTCCCAAGTATCTTTTGAACATCATTCTGGGCAATGGCATAGTAGTCGTAGTATTTTATTAATTCATAACAACCTACTGAAGGAGGTTAAAGGTTACAAAAGAAAATTACAAATAAAAATTACTCAAATTACAATGACGAACAGTTTAAAAGAACGACCAAAAACAGACTAGATTGAAGTTAGTAACGGAAATATATAATAAAATAAAATGAAAGACCAACAAAAAACTATAAACTGAATATAAAAACAAAAACCCAATGAACACATAATAGGTATATATATA